TGCCCAGTAAATAATCAGAAAGAGGGAAACTGAGGCAGGGCTCTGGGAAGTGAGTCAGTGCCCCAGGTGGGAAGAGGCACCCACGTGTTCTGATCCATCTGTCCCCTCAGTCCCATGGCCTCCAGCTGGGACCTTCCCCCGACCAGGACAGCTAGCGGCACCTCCTGCCCAGTGCAGTGTTGACAGCTCAGACTCAGACGCCTTCCCCAGTTGCAGCTTATCTCAGTCTCCAGAGAGCGGGCAGGCGTGATGAGGAAAGGGCAAGCCCAGTGTCTCAACCTCCACCTGCAGCCCGGGCAGTTTGGGGCTTGTATGGTCTGGGGCCTGAGCAGTTCTGTGAGGGTAGCCAAGACCAGGGACCAGAAACCACCATGTCAGAGCCAGAAGGGGCCCCAAATCCCATCCTTTTCACAGGCATCACTGAGCTCAGAGAAGGCAAGCCCCATGTGCTAAAAACAGTGCAGGCCGCCCCAGGCAGGGACGGGCACGGAGGCTGCGTGGAGGAGGCAGGCACCAGGGCAGCTGAGGGGAAGGCGGGAGTGTTCCGTCCAGGCGTGTCCCCAAGGGGTGGTATGAAGGGCAGGGTGTGTGTCTGGTGAATGCAGAGACCAGGAGTGTGTGTCCGTGTCTGTGAGTGTGAATGAATGTGAGTGTGTCAGTGTGTGTGTGTGTGTGTGTGAACAGGGTTCATGGGTGGAGAGGGAGGAAGGTGGGTCAGCTGGGGGGAAACAGGCGGCTCCCACTTGGGAGGTACACACAGGGCTCCGTAAGAATGCGAGTCATGCAGGGAACTGCCACAGCCAGCAGCCGTGGCCAAGGCCGAGCAGGGAGCAGAGTGTTTCCAGGTGGCCGGGGCCATGAGGCCCTGGGAGAGGACATATGATGGTGAGGGGTCCCAAAGACCCTCTCACCTAGCTAATCCTTCAGCCCCCTCCACACCTCAAGCATGTCCCAGCTGGCTGCCACACCCAGGGCTAGAGACTGGCGGGGGCTCAGCGCCAGAGTCCAGAACATTCCTTGGAGAATCAACAAAGTCAGGAAAGGCAGGCGGTGCCTTCCTTGGCCCTGGGCCAGACACAGTGATAGGCGGGTGGCAGCCCCCTTTTCTGTGGGGCCAGAACAGGCATGAAGCCTGATTGGGTGCAGAAGTCAGGGTGGGGAACAGGGAGAGATGTGAGGGGGGACTGCAGGCCCTGGCAAAGCCAGCCCTCCAGTCCCACCTAGCAAGCCCCTGCTGAGCCTGGAGGGCCGTCCGTTCTCCCCCCACCCAGACCAGGAGTCTGCCAGGGCTCGGGTTGTTCTGAGGACCCTCACCTGCCCAGCCACCCACAGCAGTCCCACTCACCCTGCGGGAGGCATCCCAGGCAGGCCATGGAGTGAGCCCTCTCGCCGGGGGCACTTGGTAGTGTGTGCAGGCCAGGAGGGAAGTGGACAGGATTCTGCCCACTCAGCGCTCTGCCCAGGGGGGGATGAGGGGCAAGGGGTGGAGCATCAGGGAACAGGCACACATGGGGCTCTGGGACAGAGGACTGCCAGAGTAAATCCAGGATACCCGTTAAATGTGAATTTCAGATAAACAAAGATAGTTTTTTAGTATAAATACATTCCAAATTACGAGTTTAGCTGAAATCCAAACTTAACTGGGTGTTCCGTATTTTATTTGGCAGCCCTATGAGGACACTCCTGGGGGCTGGCAGGGCCCTGTGGGAGAGGAGCGGCCAGCAGGCCCCCTGCAGGTATCAGCTTCTCCATCAGTCACTGTGTGACAAGCAGACTGTGGGCCACACTGCCTGGGTTCAAATTTTGTCTCAGCTACTTCCTGGCTTGGAACCCTAGGCAAGTTACCAAACCTCTCTGAACCTGTTTCCTCATTTGTAACAGAAGGCTGCTGGTACCACCCATCTCATAATATTGTGAGCATTAAATGAGATAATATTCGAAAAGCACCTGGGACAGTTACAAAGTGGTTAATTAATATTCACAAGGCTAGTCAAGAACAGTGGCTTACACCTGTAATCCCAGCACTTTGGGAAGTCAAGGGAGGAGGATCCTTGGAGCCCAGGAGTTCAAGGCCAACCTGGGAAACATAGTAAGACCCCAACTCTACAAAAAATAAAAATAAAATTAGCTGGGCCTGGTGGTACATGCCTGTAGTCCCAGCTACTTGGGAGACTGAGATGAGAGGATCACTTGAGCTCAGGAATTGGAGGTTGCAGTGAGCCATGATTGTGCCACTGCACTCCAGTCTGGGTGAGGGTGAGACCCTGTGTCATAAACAACAATAAAAAGTATTCACTGGGAGCTGCCACGGAAACTAGGCTCTGGCAGCAGGCAGGCATGTGGCCTTGGCGGGGACTTCCCTCCCACACGGGGATATCTGAGGATTGGGCAGGATCAGGTCTGATGCAAGCTCAGCACAGAGCCTCACGCAGGGCAGGTGCTCACTGGACTACACTCCTCTCTCTTCATGAATCCCTGCAAGTCAGAAGCCCAGCCCAGGAGTGGGGCGCTGGGGGCACGAAGGACTCTGACTCACCATGGGGGTATTTTCTTCCTCCTTCCCCTGCTCATCTGGGTATCCCTAGTGTGGCTCTAAAGGCCTTTTCCATCCTCGGGCCCCTCTGAGCCATTCCCTGCCCTAGTCCCTCCACCTGATTTGACATAAAATCTATTCTCTGTTAGGCTAAGGGGTGTGGTGACAGCAGGGGCAGGGCAAGGCCAGGGAGGCTATCTGGGTGACAGGCCTAGGCCTTGGCCTCTGATGGCCCGAGGGGCTGGGCCCCAAGACTGGGTTTCCTTCTCCACCCTGTCCCTGGGCTCTCTGTGGCCTGGGGAAGGGACATTCCCCACAGACTCGGATTCAACATTCCTCTCTCTGCAGTCACTCAGCAGGACAGGGCAGTGATGGGGAATAAGGGTGGCAGAGATGATGTTCTGATACCTACATAGCTCCTGACAGTGTCACCTTGGTGAGGTGCCCAGAGCTCCCGTGCAGCCTCACTCAGCTGATCAGTGCTGAGGCTGGGCTCAGCTGTAATGATTTGTCTGCATGTGACTCTGCCTACTGAACTGTGTGCTCCCCGAGGGCAAAGCTCTGTGCTACTTATCTCTGCAGCCCCAGCCCCTGGCACAGCACCCTGGCCCACTGATGGCGCTCAGCAAACGTGTGGAATGAAGAAGCCAACGGGCACCAGGCTTCCCCTCAGCCCTTCTGTGGCACCGAGGACCCTGCAGGGGCTGGGTCCCAGGGCTGCCCTCAGCCATCCCAGCGGTAGCTTATCCCACCACGGCCACCTGCTACTCCCCAAACCACACCACTTCTTAGCCCAGAGAATGACACCCGCAATCACAGAGTCCAGCCTGATGTATCTCCTGGGAGCCCTGGAGTCCATCCTGAGGGTCTCCCAAGCCTGGTCCCCACCCCTTGCCCAACTAACTCCTCAGCCTCCCTCCTTCAGTCTCCCCGTTTCTCCCCTGCCTTCATCCAACCTGCCCCCCATTCTCCACACTCACCCCTGCCCAAGCCCTTCCTGGGGCTCCTGATGCCCTCCAGATAAAGTCCATGACTCTCCAGGGAGGGCCTGGAGGAGCTCCCCACATCCCCAGCCTCTCCCCTCTGCCATTCTGGTCTTCCTCAGCTGGGGCCAGCCAGGGCCCTCACTGGCTCCCCATCCCCTCATGTGCTGCCCCCTGTCCCTGGTCCCCAGAGTCCTGTTCCTTTGTTTCATTGTCTGACCTCCCTGCTGGAACCTTGGCTATCTAAGGGCAGAAGCCCCACGGAAGGGCATACCATAGGCACTCCACAAGTGCTTGTAACATACGATGGGCACTGCCTAAGTGCTTGTCCAATGCATACGTGGTTGAATGGATGGCAGGGCAGAGACGGTGTCTTACGTCTCAATAAGCAGAATGCCAGGCACAGCGCCCAGACATAGCGCTCAGGTGGAATGAGTGTGGGAAACAAGAAGGCAAAACTGGCAATTGGGAACCCTGAATTCTGCCCCAAGTTTCACACGGGGTGCCTGGCAGCCTTGTCCTTCTGCTCCCGAGCTCCACACCTGGCCTCTCCAACACTGACTAGCAACAGCAGCTCCAACGCAGCACCTCAGTAGGGAGGTCCTTTACATGCCAGACAACACTCTCAGAAGCGCCCCCTCATTCAAACCCTCTACCACCCTGTGGGTCCCACTTTGCCTGGACTCAGAGAGGGTCCCAGGGGCCACGTGGTGGAGCACTGCCAGGGTGCCACTCACACTGCCTTTTGTTGGCTGTGTGGTCACAGGCAAATTCCTTGCCATCTCTGAGTCAGTTTCCTCACCTGTGAAATAGGGATTCACCCTCCTTCTCTCAGGAAGTCAAGGAAGATTGCAAGACACCACCTGTGTAACCCATCCAGCACCAGCTGCCTCTGTGACATTCCAGTGAGCCAGTTACATTCCTTCTGCACGATTGACTGCCTTAAATCTGAGATGAGAGTCTTGGCCTTCGGACTTTCTCACTGGTTAGACCAGTCCTGCCAGGGCACTGTGGCTGTGGCTGCCCCTGTGGGGCCGCGGGTTGGAGGACCGCTGGGGAGGCCAGCCTCTTCCGCGGAGGCCAGCCGCAAACTCACATCCTTCCTAAGGGCCGCAAGACCCCAAGAGGCCCTGGCAGACCCTAGATACTGCTGAGGAGGCGGGCGAGGGCCACCCCAAGCCTCCCTCTCCCACTCCACTCTCCCTGGGGACCCCATCAGCGCCCGGTGCCCAAATTCGCCCTGCAGACGCCGCGCGAGAGCCCCCTGGTGGAAAGCAAAGAACATCCTGGGCGCCCGGTTCGCCGGGACCCTTGGGTGATCCCAGGTGCGACGCCCGGCTGGACGGCGCTGGCCCTCCGCCCCTCACCATAGCCTCCCAGCCCCGTGCAGCCCGGGGAGTCCACGAACAGCTCCCTGGAGCGCCCCAGACTGCGCCCCTGGGAACAGTCCGCGACCACCCCGCAGCCCCCTGCCCATCACTGACCCATCTTCTTCAGCGCCCGCAGCCCTGGCCTCTTGGTGCCGCCATCGGAGGGAGTCGGCGGGGACGGGAGCGCGACCGGCGCCGCGACTTGGGCTGAGACCTGGGCGGCCACCGGGTGCTCCTCCGGCGGGTGGCGGCAGCGTCTCCAGCGGCCGCACAGCATGGCTCGGCGAGAGGCCGGGGCCGGGCCCGGGGTCTGCGCGCGGGGACAGGGCAGCAGGGCGCCGCTCCGGCCCGGCCCCAGCTCTGAGCGCCTCGGCAAGCGAAGAAACTTAGCAGCGCGGGAGGGAGTCGGAGGCGGAGGCGGCGGCGGCGGCGGGGTGGGGGGGCGGGGCCGGGGCCGGAGAGGGGCGGGGCAGGATTGGCGGGGCAAGGGCGGTGCGGGGGCGGGGCCAGGCAGTGGCCTGGACCCCGGGGAGCCTCAGAGCTCGCCTCCGCCCTTGAGTCCGCCTCCCCTTAGTCCGAGCGAACCTCCGATCTCGGCCGCGACGGTGACCAGAGCCCCCATGCTGCGGCGCTGGGGGTGGGAGCCGGCACCGGGGGCGAGGGCGGTCCTCTGGCACAGACACCCTCTCCTTCCCGGGAATCCTGACTCGAGGCGGACACAGGACCCCCTCCTCCTTCCCTTCGGCGTCCCGGTCCCGCCGTAGACGAGCCAGAACCCAGGAAGGGACGCAGGGCCGGGAGCGACCGCAGAATCCCGGGAGCTGAGCCGCGCGTGGCAGCGCGAACCCGAAGAGATGGGCATGTGGGTGGGGGAGGTTGACAGTGACGTCATAGGATTACCCTCCCTGTGCCAGGCCAGGTGCTGCCCCCTCTGAGAGCCACCGTCTCGGAGCTGACGGACCAGGGGATCCTGAGGCGGAGCCGCGCCTGGAGTCTCCAGAAACTAGTTCTGGGTTCGAGGCTTGGACAGGTCGGCACCCCAGCCCGGCTCCCGCGGTGTAGTCGTCCGCGACGTCACTCCGTGGGTGGGCATCCGCGTGCGGGTTCTGGTGGCCGAGTGGGGTGTGCACTTAACTATTTATATGCACGGACCAGAGTGCGTGCTCGAAGTGCGGGACGTCCAGGTGGCAGCGTTTCTGCAGCCAGTGGCCTGGGTCCCGCAGAGAGATGGGCACACACTGCCACTCGGTGGCGGCCAGCGGGGTGACACCACAGACATGCTAGCACTCAGGGCCTGGATTTGCCACCTACTTGCCCCGGCTCTACCCCATCCTCAGATCTCCCAGGCCCAGAGATTCTGCACAGCGGCTTGGGTCCCTATGCCACTCTGGAGTCCTGAATTTTCTTCCTGGTTATCATCTTCGCCTTTCCATTCCTTCCTCCAGGAATAACCTTCCTTATTCTCCTGGTTTACTCTTTTGTTGTTGTTGTTGTTGGATAGGCTAAGTCTACATTTCTTTTAATTGTTATGGATACTTAATAGTTGCAGAGAATGATGGAGATGCATGTGATATTTTGATACAGGTATAAAATGTGTAATGATCAAATCAAGGTAATTGAGATATCCATCACCTCAAGCGTTTATCATTTCTTTGTGATAGGAACATTCCAATTCCACTTTTAGTTATTTTTATTTATTTGTTTGTTTGTTTATTTAATAGAGACAAGGTTTCATTACTTGGTTGTCTGGGGTGGAGTGCAGTGACACGATCATAGCTCACTGCAGTCTCAAACTCGGTCTCACAGCAGTTCTCTTGCTTTGGCCTCCCAAAATGCTGGGACTACAGGCCTGAGCCACCACGTCCCACCCAGTTATTTTGAAATATGCAATAAGTTGGCCGGGTGCAGTGGCTCATGCCTATAATCCCAGCAAAGACTTTGGGAGGCGGAGGTACGATGATCACTTGAGGCCACATGTTGAAGACCAGCCTGAGCAACATAATGAGACCTCTGCCTCTACAAAAATTGTTTTTTAAATAATTAAAGATACAATAAATTATTGGTAACTATAATTGCTGTATTGTGCTACAGAATACTGGATCTCATTCATTCTAATTGTTTTTGTACCCATTCTCCGCCCTCACCCGCAGCCAGTACCCTTCCCAGCCTCTAGTAACCATCATTCTGCCATCTCCATTTTGCTTACTCTCTCTCTCTCTTTTGTTTTTCGAGACGGAGTCTTGCTCTGTCGCTCAGGCTGGAGTACAGTGGGCCGATTTCGGCCCTGGGTCCAAGCGATTTTTGTGCCTCAGCCTCCTGTGTAGCTGGGAATACTACAGGCGCGCGCCACCACACCCTGCTCACTATATATATATATATATATATATATATATATATATATATATATATATTTTTTTTTTTTTTTTTTTTTTTTTTTTTTGAGACAGAGTTTCACTCTTGTTGCCCAGGCTGGAGTGCAATGGCTCGATCTTGGCTCACCGCAACCTCCACCTCCCGGGTTCAAGCAATTCTCCTGCCTCAGCCTCTCGAGTAGCTGGGATTACAGGCATGCGCCACCACGCCTGGTTAATTTTTTTTTTTTTTTTTTTTTTTTTTGAGATGCGAGTATCATTCTGTGGCCCAGGCTGGAGTGTAATGGCGCCATCTCCGCTCACTGCAACCTCCGCCTCCAGGGTTCAAGCGATTCTCCTGCCTCAGCCTCCTAAGTAGCTAGGATTACAGGTGCGCGCCACCATTCCCGGCTAATTTTTGCTTTTTTAGTAGAGACGTGTTTTCACCATGTTGGTCAGGCTGGTTTTGAACTCCTGATCTCGTGATCCGCCTGCCTCTGCCTTCCAAAGTGCTGGGATTACAAGCGTGAGCTACTGCGCCTGGCCCTAATTTTGTATTTTTAATAGAGACGGGGTTTCTCCATGTTGGTCAGGCTGGTCTCAACCTCCCGATCTCAGGTGATCCGCCTGCCTTGGCCTCCCAAAGTGCTGGGATTACAGACGTGAGCCACCGCGCCCGGCCATCTTTCAAAACTCGGCTGTGATGTCCCTCCTCCAGAACGCCTGACCCTAGGACTTGACTCTTTTTATCCCCAGTGCCTAAGTGTCTCAAGAGTTGAGGATCCGCCAGGCTTGGGTATCAGCGAACAGATGCGGATATCCACCAGGGTGCGCTAGAACGCCACGACCTTTCACTGTGTGCACCAGTAGGGCTGCCGCTCGCCTTTGGCTGGGAAGTTCGACTCCTGGATTAAGCCCCGCCTGATTGGGTGAGGCTCTGAGAAACTATTTGCATAATCTTGAAAGGGCCGCGCTGAATGGTTGAGGTAGATAAGCCAAATGTGAAACATGCTTTCATTGGCGTAAATTTTCCCCCTCGCTCTGCGTCGCCATCCCGGCCCTGCCGAACCCTCGGGTCAGTAGGAAGCCGCGGAGTGGTGGCAAGAGAGGACCCAGGTGTCCCGGTAATGGGCGCCGCGGGGCGCGGGCTGGGCCGGGTGGGAGACTGTTCGCCCCGCCCTGACTACTCCTCTCTTGGTCCCCTGCCTGTCCAGGAGTTGGAGATGGGCACTTAGAGGCGCATCTGGGGGAGGACACATCTGGCACTGCGGCCCCATCTGGCACTGCGGCCCCTGCCACCTGCCTCTCCACACACCGAGGCCCTGGCGACCCTGGCCCCACCACACTGCCTTGAGGTAGGAAAAGGAGTCTCCTCAACCACAACTTCTGACCTCCCAGGGTGTCTCTCTCAGGCCGCTGAAGAGCTTAATTTGCCTCTCTGGGAAGTGGATCCTTGGCTTATGGTGCGTGGGGACGGGGGTCGGGGTGGGCTGGAGACCCTTTTATACGAAGGCTGCTTCTTGCAGAGTCGCTCAAAAGTAGGGCCCCAGGGCTTGCAACAGCATGGGCACTGAGAACGAAAGCCCAGAGCCTGACTGCCAGAAACAGTTCCAGGCGGCAGTGAGTGTCATCCAGAACCTGCCTAAGAACGGTGAGGCTGTGGGGACTCGCGTTTGGGAGTTCAGGATGGCTGGGGTCTGACTCTGAAGAAAGAATGGTCCTGATCTCTGCAGTTTTTGCAGACAAGTCCCTACCTGGGCTGTCCTGGGGGTCCCCTCCGCTTCCAGTCCCAGTCCAGATGCCCTGAGTGGGACCTGTCCCCACCTCTGCTCTTTCCAAGTGGGGTTACCCTGCCCCTTTGCCCCTCGGAGCTGGGAGTGATGCTCTGCCCTGGCTTCCCAACTCTCTGCTCAGGTTCTTACCGCCCCTCCTACGAGGAGATGCTGCGATTCTACAGCTACTATAAGCAGGCCACCATGGGGCCCTGCCTGGTCCCTCGGCCTGGGTTCTGGGACCCCATTGGACGATATAAGTGGTGAGCTCCCTGCTGGCTGGGCAAACAAGCCTCAGCTGTCAAGCAGCCCTCTCACAGCCCTCTGTCCTCAGGGACGCCTGGAACAGTCTGGGCAAGATGAGCAGGGAGGAGGCCATGTCTGCCTACATCACTGAAATGAAACTGGTGGCACAGAAGGTAGGGGCTGCAGGTTCTCTGTCCCCAGGTTCCCAGCCAGGTGGCCTGCCCCTCACCTTTCCAGTTCCGACCCCCTTTACACTTCCTACACCTGGACCCCTACCAAGGGAATCACCACCTTCATGTTACCCACTGCCCTGCCTGTCTTTGGCCCCTGACTGGATGCAGGGTGGAAGTGTGTGACAGGGCAGGAGCAGGGCAGAGGGGACAGAAGGCCACTCTCTCCCCAACAGACCCCCTCCCTCACAGGTGATCGACACTGTACCCCTGGGTGAGGTGGCAGAGGACATGTTTGGTTACTTCGAGCCCCTGTACCAGGTGATCCCTGACATGCCGAGGCCCCCAGAGACCTTCCTGAGAAGGGTCACAGGTCAGACTCCCAGGCTGGGAGCTCCGAAAGTGCTGAGTGAACCGTCTTAGGTCTAGGCTCAGGTGGGCTGGGGGCAGAGGGGACTCCCGGCAACATCCCTGTCAGGACCCCCAGACCCCCAAGAGGTAGCCCTCAGGCAGCATCAAGGCTCATGCAGAGTAGGGGCTTGATCTCACTGGGAGGGGCCCGCCTCTCCCCTGTCCCACATCTGGGTGCTGTGTCTTGGCAGGTTGGAAAGAACAGGCTGTGAATGGAGATGCTGGGGCCGTTTCAGAGTCTCCCTGCCTCCCTAAGGAACTGGCACCCCCAAGCCCAGGTTAGTGCTTGGGCAGGAGGCATGGACCAAACCCGGGCTGGGGGAGGGCTGGAGGGAAGAAGGCTGGATGCCATGCTGTGCCCTCCTCAAACACTGAGACTTCCTGTGCTCCCAAAGGTGGGGACGGTGTTCTAGGATCCTGTCCCAGGGCCTTTCTGCTGGAGGCGATGTCGCTAATGCCTCGTGTCTCTAGTGTCTCCTAACAGGTGCTTGGCCCAGGGCACACCCCTGCTGTCCCTGCACAGCCTCCCTCTGGGCAGTAACTCTACCAACCCCTCCTCAGAGTCCCATCCACCCAGGGACCTGGACTCTGAGGTTTTCTGTGATTCGCTGGAGCAGCTGGAGCCTGAGCCGGTGAGACCAGTCGCCTTTCCCCCTTTCCCACCCCACTGTAGGCCCCCTCCCACCCTCAGCTCTCTGACTCATCTCGGCAGGTTTGGGCTGCGCCTCAGGGAGCACCTGGAGGAGAGCATGACCCCAGGAACAGTCCCGTGCCTCCCAGAGAGAAAGGTGAGCTCCTGTCCAACCCCTCACCGACTTCTGCCCTTCCCTGTGGTCCTGTGCCCCAGGCCTTCTCTTGACTGCCTTCCTATGGCAGAGGTGAAAGTCCAGTGCTGGGCACTGAGCCAGAAGCCTCCGTCCAGGAAGGGCTGCCAACCTGCCAGATACCTACCTGGATGGGCAAAGTCCCCACCTTCCCTCCTCTCCCCCAGGGCCACCCAGGAGTTTGCACCCTCTGCAGGTGCTGAGTAAGGCCAGCAGGATGGGAGTCCTAGCCCGGCTCTCCCACCTACAGCTGCATGGCCTCTGGAACCCCCTATTTGGAAAATCTCAGAAGACAGTGAGTTCTGCCCTCTTCCCTTCTAGAACTCCTGTTGTGTTTCAGGTCCCATATGGCCATTTTCAAAAGTATCTCCTTTATTCCTCTGAGCAAGCAGCCCTGTGAGGGAGATGACATCTTCCTCTAATTTTTTTTTTTTTTTGAGACGGAGTTTCGCTCTTGTTACCCAGGCTGGAGTGCAATGGCGCGATCTTGGCTCACCACAACCTCCGTCTGCTGAGTTCAGGCAATTCTCCTGCCTCAGCCTCCTGAGTAGCTGGGATTACAGGCACACACCACCATGCCCAGCTAATTTTTGTATTTTTAGTAGAGACAGGGTTTCATCATGTTGGCCAGGATGGTCTCAGTCTGTTGACATCATGATCTGCCCACCTTGGCCTCCCAAAGTTCTGGGATTACAGGTGTGAGCCACCATGCCCAGCCTCTTCTTCTAATTTTTAGTTGACAAAATGATGCCCAGAGAAATTAATAACTTTGGCTGGGCTCAGTGGCTCACGCCTATAATCCCAGCACTTTGGGAGGCCAAGGGGGACAGATCACCTGAGGTCAGGAGTTCAAGACCAGCCTGGCCAACATGGTGAAACCCCATCTCTACTAAAAATACAAAATTACCCAGGCATGTTGGCACTTGCTTATAATCCCAGATACTCAGGAGGCTGAGGCTGGAACCGGGGAGGTGGAAGTTGCAGTGAAACGAGAGCATCATACCACTGCACTCCAGCCTGACTGTCTCAAAAAAAAAAAAGGTTAATGACTCGACTAAAGTCATAAGTGACCATGGCTGGGATTAAACCCCCAGCAACGCATTACTCAGCTACATAGATGGACTTTGCAAGAATCACACTTGGTACAGGGATTGGGTTCTACTCCCACACTTTCCTGGGCTTGCCCCAGCCTGCCCTCACCCTGCCTGGAGCTGAACTGACTCCTGAGCCCCCTTCCCTGTGCGTCTGTGCTCCGCAGAGGGGTTGCGGGGCAGCCTGCCGGGGCCCCAGGAATTGGACGCGTGGCTGCTGGAGACAGTTCGAGCACTACAGGAGAGCATGCAGGAGGTGCAGGGGAGGCTGCAAAGCCTGGAGAGCTTGCCCCAGCCCCCGGAGCAGGTGAGTCTCCCACCCTGTGGGACAAGATGACCGAAAAATCCGGTCTCTATTCTGGGTTCCTTATCCAGCCCCTTTTGTTTTTGTCCTCCACCTGCCCACATCTGTCTCCAGAGAATGGTGTGGCTCCTGCAGCTGGGATTACTGCAGGCGGGGAGGAGGAGGTGAGGGTGGAGTGGGGGCTGAGGTGCTTCTACCCTGAAAGCAGAGTGGGTGGGGCCCTTTGCCTTCTCCCCTCCCTCTGCCTGGAGAGAAGCTGAGCCTTAAGACTAATCCTGCGTGGGAAGGGGCAGGATGTGTCTCCTCTGGGCATTGAGGATTTGGGTCTCTGGTGCCCTTCAGTCAGGATTTCCATTCCCAGAATTAGAATTCACCCCAAACAGTTCAGCACTTGCATCACTCCCCTCAACTCCTAGATCTGCTCTCCCCTGACACCTGGGCTCCCGAAAACTAAATAATAGCTGCCATTGCTGGAGACCCACTGGGTGCCAAACATCACAGGCATCTCCCCACTGAATCCACACAACAGCCCTATGAGATAGGGTTTCTTTCTTTCTCCTTCTTTCCTCGTTCTTTTTCTTTCTTCTTTCTCTCTCTCTCCTTCCTTCCTTTCCTTCTCCCCGCCCCGCCCCCCCCCTTGACAGGGTCTTGCTCTGTTGCCCAGGCTGGAGTGCAGTGGCAAGATCTTGGCTCACTGCAATCTCCTACTCCCTGGTTCAAGCAACTCCCCAGCCTCTGCCTCCCAAGTAGCTGGGATTACAGGCGCACCCCACCACGCCCAGCTACTTTTTTGGTGTTTTTCATAGAGATGAGGTTTCACCATGTTGGCCAGACTGATCTCAAACTTCTGACCTCAGGCAGTCCACCTGCCTTAGCCTCCCAAAGTGTTGGGATTACTGGGGTGAGCCACCATACCCGGCTGAAATAGGGGTTTTCACCTCCCTTTTAGAGGGGAAAACTAAGGCTCCCTGAGGGCACACAACCTGGGCGAGCCTCTTGGAGCTGCTGTGAGGATTCGCAGCATCCACCACACAGAAAGCCTTCTCCAGTTGGTTCTGTTGTTACTACTGCTGTTATGATTAATATTAAGCGATGGAGCTGGGAGTGGCCCCTAGTCTGTCTCCCTGCAAAGCTGGTACCCGCCATTAACTCTTAGTGGATCTGTTCTTGAAAAGCCTGAGGTGGTGGAGGCAGGAGAGGGCTGGGTTCCCAGATGTGGGGTATTTCTGGGGTGACTCCTAACCCACTCAGCATGGTGGGTGTGAGCCACAGTGGCGGGATTTCCTCAGATCCATGGTGACTAACCTTTCAATACTGCCCCTCCCCCTCAACAGGGCTTTATTTTTTTTCTTTTCTTTTGTTTTTTGAGATGAAGTGTCATTCTGTCGCCAGGCTAGAGTGCAATGGTGCGATCTCGGCTCACTGCAACCTACGCCTCACGGGTTCAATCAATTCTCCTGCCTCAGCCTCCCGAGTAGCTGGGACTACAGGTGTGCACCCCCAAGACCGGCTAATTTTTTTATTTTTAGTAGAGACAGCATTTCTGTTGGCCAGGATGGTCTGGATCTCTTGGCCTTGTGATTTGCCCACCTCGGCCTCCCAAAGTGCTGGAATTACAGGCGTGAGTCACCGTGCCCGGCTCCCTTTTCTTTTTTCTTACCACTTACTACTTTTAAATGTTGAAGATTTTAAAAGTAGACTACAAGCCAGCATGGTGGCTCATGCCTATAATCCTAGTACTTTGGGAGGCTGAGGTGGAAGGATCACTTGAGCCCAGAAGTTTGAGATTAGCCTGGGCAGCATAGCAAGATCCTGTCTCCAAAAATATATATATATATTATAAACATCACGATGTTCCACCCTGAAAGAGTGGGGTTCATAGCTCTTAAAATATGAACATTCTACCTAGCCCAAACATTTTATTACACATAATTACTAATTTCTTAATGTCATCAAATATTCAATCTAAATTCGAATTTCTCCAATTATCCTGAAACTGCCTTTTCCAGCTGCTCTGCTTTTCCAGTCTAGGACCACACACTGCATCTGTTCCCCTTCCAATTCTCTTTTAATCTAGGCCAGTCTTTCTCCTTGCTATTGACTTGCTCACCAGTCTGGGCGGGTGCCCTATAGAATGTTCCACCTTTCAAGTCTAATTAGGTCCTCATGGGTGGTTCCTGGATATGTATTTCGTGTGAACTGGAAGTTAGATCTAAGCACTGGATTAGAGTCAAATTAGACATTTTGGGCTGGGCATGGTGGCTCACACCTATAATCCCAGCACTTTGGTAGGCTGAGGCAGGCAGATAGCTTGAGCCCAGAAGTTTGAGACCAGCCTGGGCAACATAGACCTCGTCTCTACAAAATCTGTTTTTTAAAATTAGGGCTGGGCATGGTGGCTCATGCCTGTAATACCAGCACTGGGAAGCCGAGGCTGGTGGATCATGAGGTCAGGAGATCGAGACCATCCTGGCTAACACAGTGAAACCCCGTCTCTACTAAAAATACAAAAAAATTATCTGGGTGTGGTGGCAGATGAGCTACTAGGGAGGCTGAGGCAGAAGAATCGCTTGAACTCAGGAGGCGGAGGTTGCAGTGAGCCAAGATGCCCCAACTGCACTCCAGCCTGGGCAACAGAGCAAGACTCCATCTAAAAAAAAAAAATTAGCTGGGCATGGCTACATGCACCTGTAGTTCTAGCTACTCCAGAGGCGACAGCGGGAGGATTGCTTGAGCCCAGGAGACTGAGCCTACAGTGAATGATGATGGTGTCACTGTGCTCCAGCCTGGGCAACAGAGTGAGACCTTGTCCCAAAAAAACACAAACCAGGCCATGCATGGTGGCTCACGCCTGTAATCCAAGCACTTTGGAGGCCAAGGCGGGTGAATCACCTGAGGTCGGCAGTTCAAGACCAGCCTCACCAACATGGTGAAATCTCGTCTTTAAAAGAAAAAAAAAAAAAAACACAAACCAAAGACCACAATATTTTGGACCAGACTATATCAGAGGTGTTTTTTTCAAAGCAGAGGACACATGCTACCTGGATGTCCCACCATTAGTGGTTGTAGCATGGGCCGCTGGCATGGTTGAAGGGGGTCTGATCCCACCATTGTGAAGTCATGTTTTCCTCCTGCAGTTGGAGAATATCCAGTTCCCCATCAACTCCATCTGCCAGTTTTTGACAATTGCTAATCCTTGCCTGAGTCAATAATTTATTTAGTGATTGCAAAAAAAAAAGCTGACTTTTAAATTCTCTGATTCTTTTAACATCTATTAGCTATAATTTGTGTACTGTTTCCCTCATCACCTTGGGTTTCCCTGAATACAGTGGAAAGCGAGGATATGTGCTTAATTCTTTCTCTTTCGCTATTTTTAAAGTAAGAAATTAATTTAAAAGCCACCTAAATGGTGACAAAATCTCAGTTTTCTCTTATTTTGAGTATCACTGTGGGCTCATGGGTTTCACAGATTCAGTATTCCCACGAGTCACAGTCATTCTTTTTGATGCTCACAGTCACAACTTGGGCCATTCTGAGACCCTTTCAAAACGGGTCCTGTGTTCTCATAACATGATCTGACGAAGCTTTAAGAACGACCTTGCTTTCCTGATGCAAGGCGCCCACATTCACTCCCACCTTCCCTGCCCCAGACCTGGAATCAGCCACTTCTCCAAGAAGCCTTAGCTCCTTTTTAGTGAAGAACCACACTTGGAAACTAAAATCTGGGTACCCAGGGTCCTCATTTGAAATATGCAGCACATCCTTTACAACATAGGGTCTTCGGGTCATTGCTTTGTGGCCCAGAGAAGACGGCAGAGAAGCTGCTGTCTCTACCCACAGCCCCACAGCCCCTCCAGCCTCTCTTGACACTGGGATTGCCCTGGGGAGGGAGAAGTGGGAGGGAGTTGGCATTCAACCTGTCAGGGCCACCCTGGGGGCCACTTCCCTTCTAGTGGTGCAGACTCGGGGGCAAGGTCTTCCCAATCTCCCCCTGAGTTGGAAGCAGGTTCCTAGGGAGGGCTGTGCTGAGGCCTGGACTGGTCTCTGACTCCCTCCCTCTCGGCTGCAGAGGCCACAGCCCAGGCCCAGTGCTAGGCCATGGCCCCTTGGGCTCCCGGGTCCTGCGCTGCTCTTCTTCCTCCTGTGGCCCTTCGTTGTCCAGTGGCTCTTCCGAATGTTTCGGACCCAAAAGAGGTGACTGTCAGTGGAGGGGTCTCTGCAGCCAACTGATACTATCTTGGTGTGCCCTGAGCCTTCCTAGGCTTTAGAAGAACAGCCTTCAAAATTCCTCCTCCCTTCAGTGTTTGTCTTCGCACCTCCTCCTCTAAAGCGGGGCGGAGAGCGGGGCGGTCAAATAAGACCCACCCCTCCCTACAGCTTCACAGGGAGGCTTCCTTCCCTCCCCACCGCAACCACCCCAGGCTCTCCGGGGAGACTGCAGTTGTGGTGCAGGTCCTGGTGCTGGGTTGGCCCGTGACGGGTGGGGGGGGCGGGGCTGTTGGGTCTCAGCCCCTGCCCTGCCCATCCTCTGGGTCACCTGACTCTCTTCCCACCCCTGCATCTCCCCGAGGAGGTTCAGCTCTTGGGCAAGTTGTGACTTGGGCCGGGGCCTGGAAGAATGATTGGCCGGGAGGCTGCGGGAGGGAGGCCAGGAGGCCGGGACCAGTTGGGAGGAGTGAGCAGGCCCCGGGGGAGGGGTGTGAGCTCAGATTTTGCTCGCCTTCCTCCCCTGCTGGCCCCCGGCGCCCCCATACACACTCAGGAACGTCTTCATTGAAGATTCACTTACAAACGAATGTTTCACTAAATAAAAGAAATCCATAATCTTCTGCTGTCTGGTCCCCCACAGAGGCAGCGGGAGAGGGGCCGGGAACGCGCGAGGCCCAAGTCCCTTTTCTGCTCCCCACCCAGTGCCCCCTTGATGGCCCTGAAGGAGGCCGGCGGTTGGTGTTTATGAATGAGGAATATTTTCCTTCCTCCCCGGGCGAGCGAAGGAGAAAACAGGCCTCGGTGTGGAGGGGAGAGGGAGGGGAACCAAAGGCGGCCCGGGCCGGGAGGGGGGCGCCCTCAGGAGAGCGGGACCCGGGGGTTGGCCCAGAGCGCGGCCCTGTCCACCGCCCGGTCGGGGACGCCGGGCCGAGCGAGCTGGGGGGCGGTGGGGAGGAGAGGAACACGGCTGGGCGGGGCTGGGACCTGGTTCGGTCCCCGCCCGAAGGGGACGACGGCTGCTCCAGCGCTGCGAGCGTAGGGATGGGGTTCGGAGCCCCCGACCCCAGAAGTCTTCGCTGCCCCCTCCTCAGCTGCCCGTTCTCCGTGCCCCACCTTGACCTGCGGGCCTGGGCCTTCCCAGGGAATTTTCTGGAAGGCTAAGGCCCAGTGAGAGCCTCGTCCTCGCCCCGCCCTGAGTAGGGGGCAGGGCCCTGCGCGCTTGGAAGCCCTCGTCCGGATGGGCCGAGCGCCTGCTTGTGCATCGCCCTCCCGGGGGCACAGGCCAGAGGCCTTGGCCTCCCTCTGTCAGCACCAGCCCTGTCGTCCCTGGTCTACCCTGGCTCAAGCCAAGGCCCAGCCCGGCCCGTATTATTCAACGGCGAAACTGGTTGCTCTGAGCGCCTACTGGTGCCAGAGCATCCAAGTCCACTGGCCAGGGTCCCCACTAGAGCCCCCCGCCCCCCGCCATTGCTACCACCTGGGCCCTAGGACCTTCCTACCCCTGGGTGAGGAAGAAGCAGTTCTGATTCCCGAGTTCCCTGTCAGCTCCTAGTCTGGACCACCGCCCCAGGCTTGGCCATCATTGGCCCTACCAGAAGCCACAGCCAAAGTCATCCCTCCTCTCCAAGCCGGGAAGGCATCCCTGAAGCTAGATGGTGCTGCTCTGCATGGCTCAGGCCAGAGTCACAGGCTGTGATAAGGCTGGACTGCAGCAAGCAGGATGCACTACGCAGGGCCACCTCGATGGGGGAAGCAGGTGGGGAGCGGGGTGCTGAAGCCAGCTCCACCACTTTCACAGTAGCTGTGGAACATGGGCAAGATTCTTAACTGCTCTGAGCTCGGGTGGCCTAGTTTGTGAAATAGGGTTGATCTCTTCCTCATAAAGCAGTCCTGGGGTTTAGCAGTGACAGGGCACGTTAAATGCGTGGCAAAGGGTTAAAACCCAGCTAATAGTAAGGTTGCCTGGCCCCCTGACAGAATCCTAGAATTCAGGCCAGGCACAGTGGCTCACCCCTGTAATCCCAGCACTTTGGGAGCCCGAGGCGGGGGGGATCACAAGGTCAAGAGATAGAGACCATACTGGCCAACAGGTGAAACCCCATCTCTACTGAAAATACAAACATCAGCTAGGCATGGTGGTGCGCGCCTGTAATCCCAGATACTCTGGAGGCTTAGGGAGGGGAATCACTTGAACCCGGGAGGCGGAGATTGCAGTGAGCCAAGATCACGCCAATGCACTCCAGCCTGACAACACGGCGAGACTCTAAAAAAAAAAAAAAATTCCACAACCTATTCGTCTGTCCACTCCTCCCCCAATATGACAAATGAGACCATAAGTGGAGTGCCATCCAGGACACTGAGGCTGGGCTCAGCTGTACCCTCCAAATGCTCTAACTGGGGGTACTCCAGAATCCTCTGGAGTCTGAAGATGTGGTAACAATTTGGAGGTCTCTGATAACCAAATTCTCTGCAAAACCCCTTTTCCTCTAGGAGCGCTCTGAGGGGCAGTTCTTGCTCCCAGGAAGCCTTCTAAGGGATGAAGGCATACGGAGCGGGGAGCTTTTCAGGTGGCCCCGAGTTCTTGGAAGCCCAGAGAAACAAACCAGGGTGTTGATTTTCAGAACATCTAGCTGTGCCCAGAGGCCCGCATGCTTGCGACTCCCTTTGGAGGCATCTCCACTGGCTGTGCCCATCACCACTGGCCCCCGCCTCCATATCTCATACTGCCCAGAGCCACCGAAGTCCCAGACTAATCCCTTCCTGGCACATGATGCTTGGTCTTCCTAAAATGCCCCTTCATGCCACTTTGCCTAAAAGCTCTTCATCCTTCAGAACCAGCCTGGAAGTCACTTGCTCCTGATACCTGTCCACAATTCCCAGCTCCCACGCACCCGGCTCATCAGCTCCCAGCAGGATTTCCCTCACTCGCCATTTTGGCTGGCTGTGGTCTGATGGCCTCTCCACAGTCCATGAGCAATGTGAAGGCAAGGATGGCATCCCACCTCTTTTTGTACCCTCCTGTCTGCCAAATGATATAGAGGCTGAATAAGGTTGAAGCTGTTAGGAATGGAAAGAACGAAATCCAGTTTTCCCGATTTTAAGAAAAAACGGGGTTTTGTGTTTGTGACCAAGAAAAATGGCATGGGGAAGTCACAAAGACCCGAGCCCTCTAGCCAGGACTGCCTCTTGGTTATCAGGTGACCTTGGACAAGTCACTTATTTTCTGGCGTCTTAGAGATGCCTTATCTGTAAAATGGAGACAGTCATTCCTATCGTGCCTAACTCGCCAGGCTGTGGTGAGGTCACATGGCTCTGTGCGCAAAAGGTGCACAGTGTAAACGGGCTGGAATGTCAGGGATGCTATTAAGGAAGCAGTAAGAAGAAAGGGTCACTAGGTGTGTGGCGAGGGAGAAGTGGAAAGGGCGCTTTAGGCCCTGGTGACTGGTATGGAGGGTTCTCCGGGTCCTCTCAGTCCTTTTTTGGAGGGCTGGGGGCTTTAGTCTGGAGAATTTATCTGAGAAACTACGCTCCAGGGAAAATCGTCCCCCCCGGCCCTGTGCCATAATCCCCTACCGCAAGTTTCGGAGCAAGTCCTCCTCCATCCTTCCCTCCCAGTCTTGCCCAGTGCCCACTGATGAAGGGCCTCTGCGGGTTAGACCTGATACCCTCTCGGATAGCCAGGGCTGATGATTTCAACTCAGTATTCATACCGAACCCCTCCCCAACAAACAGCCTCATGGCTGGCCCGGACCTCCCCTGTCCCGGCTCAGGAAATGATCCCGGTGGGAAGTGAAAAGACCAAATCGGCCTCAGGAGGCCATTTTCTTCTACAGAAGCTGAGGCCTGGGGGCGAGGCCTTCACCCCCCCTTCCCCCCACCCGCGCTTTCCGATCTCGGCCCAGGGAAGAGGCTTGGCCGCGAATCACAAGTCTGCATTGGCCCCTGGGGCGGGGTGGCTTTTAAAGACCGGGCTGAGGCTGCGACTCGGCCACCTTCACCTAAGGGTCCCGAGACCAATCCGGGGGTCGGCGTCACCGGGACTCGAACCAGCCCTTTCGTCTTCCGAGGCCTAGTGCGAGCCTGCTGCACTAAAGGCAGTCACACTGTCCCTTTAAGGCGGCACTTTTTATTCTTCATCTGTTTACTTCTTCATGCGCTTTTCGTTTTTAACAAAATGTACTCGCGATATCCTTCCGCAAGTGTCAGTCTCAGGCACTCACCACCCGCCTTGAAGCCGTTTCTGTAATCTTAAGACTCGCGAGTAAGCAATCGTGGGCCGACATCTCTTTTTAGAATTTAATTCTTTTACATTTTAGGGACTACTTTTTAGGAATAAACCATTCTTTCGTTAGTTACTAAAGGTTTATAACCCTCGGAACCCTTACGCTGAGAACAGAATACGACAATAGCCTTTATAACGCACCTTTTCATAAAAACATTCTGTGTGCATTCACACAGGCCATCGAATCTTCTCGTATTCCAGAAACAGAATGGTACGGTCCAGAACCCGCCCCATCTCTGCGATTGGCTATCCTTCTTCAGCGAGTCTGGTGACTTTTGACCAATGGTCGCTTGCGTTTCTTTAGCGGGGGCAAAGCGATGGAAGGAGGCAACCTGGGTGACGCCCCCTACGCGTTATGGGATTGGCTACGTCGCACGGCGCGCGAGAACGGCGGGCCCGAAAGATAAGAACTACGACTCCCGGCTCCCCACGATGGAAACTCCATTACGCATGCGCATGGGCGGAGCGAACACGCTTCTATATAAAAGGGGTGCAGCGGGCTGGGAGGCAGCAGTTGGAAGTTGGCAGGTGGAGAGGCAGGTTGATAGGGAAAGTCGGGGGAGGAGGCGGAAGGGGAGCTGTGGGAAGGGGGAGGAGGGAGGGAGGAAAAGAGGAGGAGGCGGAGGAGAACTGAGCAGAGCAGAGCATCGAGCCAAAGGGGAGATGAGTTTGTCTGTCCTCTGCTGAGGCTCCGGCCGGGCCTGGGGAACTGGGAGCTTGGGTTGAAGCGACACCCGTGGAAGTGGGAGGAGGTGACTCCGGGACTTTAACCCCTTGTGGGCTCTGCGGCAGGGGATTTAACCCTTTGTGGATCTTGCCCCTCGGAGGCAGCGTCATCGGTAGTTTTAACCCTTTCGGGGCTGGGTTTCACCCAGTGGACTTACCCTCATCACCTTGCTCACCAACTCCTTTATTGTTGGGGTGCTCCGCTTGGAGGTTTGAGGCCCACCTTCGCACATTACGTACTGTTCCTGCCGCTGCACCCCCCTGGACCCGCTAGCTGGCCGCACTGTGGGCGCTTAACCCTTTACTGACTTGAGCTCCCAAATTGCTATTGGAGTTTGCTGATGGAAGGACTGGCTAAAGGCGTCACTGCAGTAACTACAAACTGAAGAGGACTCTGTTGGACTTTTTTTTTTTTTTTTTTTTTTTTAAAGAACAACCCATTTTTTTCCTAAAGGACTTACTGGCCAAAATTTCTCAAACTTCGAGGACTCTACTAGCCATGGCCGAGCCATTCTTGTCAGAATATCAACACCAGCCTCAAACTAGCAACTGTACAGGTGCTGCTGCTGTCCAGGAAGAGCTGAACCCTGAGCGCCCCCCAGGCGCGGAGGAGCGGGTGCCCGAGGAGGACAGTAGGTGGCAATCGAGAGCGTTCCCCCAGTTGGGTGGCCGTCTGGGGCCGGAGGGGGAAGGGAGCCTGGAGTCCCAGCCGCCTCCCTTGCAGACCCAGGCCTGTCCAGAATCTAGCTGCCCGAGAGAGGGAGAGAAGGGCCAGAATGGGGACGATTTGTCTGCTGGCAGCGATTTCCCGCCGCCGGCAGAAGAGGAACCGATGCCCGAGGCCGAGCTGCTCGCTCAGTCTTGTAATGACTCCGAGGCCAACAAGTTGGGGGCTCCTGCCGCAGGGGGCGAAGAGGAGTTGGGACAGCAGCAGAGACAGCTAGGCAAGAAAAAACATAGGAGACGCCCGTCCAAAAAGAAGCGGCATTGGAAACCGTACTACAAGCTGACCTGGGAGGAGAAGAAAAAGTTCGACGAAAAACAGAGCCTGCGAGCTTCGAGGATCCGAGCCGAGATGTTCGCAAAGGGCCAGCCCGTCGCGCCCTATAACACCACGCAGTTTCTCATGGATGATCACGACCAGGAGGAGCCGGATCTCAAAACCGGTCTGTACTCCAAGCGGGCCGCCGCCAAATCCGACGACACCAGCGATGACGACTTCATGGAAGAAGGGGGTGAGGAGGATGGGGGCAGCGACGGGATGGGAGGGGACGGCAGCGAGTTTTGCAGCGGGACTTCTCCGAGACTTATGAGCGGTACCACACGGAGAGCCTGCAGAACATGAGCAAGCAGGAGCTCGTCAAGGAGTACCTGGAGCTGGAGAAGTGCCTCTCGCGCATGGAGGACGAGAACAACCGGCTGCGGCTGGAGAGCAAGCGGCTGGGCAGCGACGACGCGCGTGTGCGGGAGCTGGAGCTGGAGCTGGACCGGCTGCGCGCTGAGAACCTCCAGCTGCTGACCGAGAATGAACTGCACCGGCAGCAGGAGCGAGGGCCGCTTTCCAAGTTTGGAGACTAGACGGAAACTTTTTGGGGGAGGGGGGCAAAAGGGACTTTTTACAGTGATGGAATGTAACATTATATACATGTGTATATAAGACAGTGGACCTTTTTATGACACATAATCAGAAAAGAAATCCCCCTCGCTTTGGTTGGTTTCGTAAATTTAGCTATGATGTAGCTTGCGTGCTTTCTCCTGTTCTTTATGTGAAACTGAAGAGTTGCTTTTCTTGTTTTTCTTTTTAGAAGTTTTTTTCTTAATGTGAAAGTAATTTGACCAAGTTATAATGCGTTTTTGTTTTTTAAAAAATCCCCTCCTTAAACGGAGCTATAAGGTGGCCAAATCTGAGAACAATTAAATTCATTTTAGTTATAATAAATTTAATATTTGTAAATGTAACAGTTTCAGTGTGATTTCTAGAGCTAATTCAAAATAGTATTGACTTATTTTATGTGACTGCATTTTTGGGGAGGGGTACTGAAATCGTTAAATTTGTCAGTTTGCAAAAATAACAATCTTTAATGGGAGAATTTCAATTTGCCAATTTTTTCCTTGAATGAGTTTAAGTATGTTACAATATACACTTCAGGCAAAATATAAAGATTTAATTATCTTCAATACTTAAGTTTGCTTGCTTTCTAGTGCCTTGGTTTTCTTTCTTGATGCTGGAAAAATAAACAAACCCGTGTTGAGTGTTTAGGTGAGTAGAAAGTGGCTACAATCTGAAATTTTAAAGTTAACTCCCTCGCCCATTCAAAAGCCTAAAAACAAAAAATGTAAATCTAATTTGGCAGTTTGTTAGGTTAGACAACTGACAGCCCCATTTCATTCCTAACAATTTGCTTTTCTGTCATGTCTTCCCACCCCCATCCCCCATAAGGCTGGAAGAGGCTCTTGGCAAACTTAGTGCAAGTAATGGTTAATTTGCCGGGCAGCTGGCTGACATGTTCAGAGGTAGGAAATACTGGATTTATGAAGGAAATGGCTGTTTAGGGGATACCAAGGACTTACCCTAATTGTCCAATACTTAAGTGCTCTCTATCCAAAAAAAAAAAAAACGAATAAGAGCTATCCACCTTTCCATGTGGGTCAAACTAAAATTAGAAATGTCCCCTCACTGCAGATCAAATGTAAAGCTTCCAGTTAAGGAGCTAAATGAGGTCCTCAGCTGAATGAGGAACCCTGTGCATTCCCTTGCACAGCCCTATTCTAAATTGCATAAACTATGCGGATAGCTGCTTAGGTTCTTGAGTAGTTCTGCTCTTAAATGCAGGGAGGCCCTAATTAATTTTTGCCCCAAAATCAAAATAGAACTTACAAGATTATTCCTTCCTGTCACTTTGGTTAACCCAGCCCTTCACCTGCCCTGTGTCAGTGTTGCCCGAGGGCAATTGCATTGCTCAAATCACTAGCATAGGGGTTCCTTAACTTGGGGTCTTAGAAACCATTGTGGGCCTTGGGGTCCATGAACCCCATGAAATTATTTGTAGACTTGTGTTATATGTACATTTTTCTAGGGAGAAGGTTCAAGAGATTCATAGGATTGTCATACTCCCTGAAGCATAAGAACCCCTGCAGGGAAGGGGGAAGAAAACCCTCCCATTAGGAAGCATACTTTTGCAGTTAAATGGCGATGGTGGAGGTGACGGACTTCAAGAGTAAAATGCACCTTGTGATGCATAAGAAGCATACACAAATCAATAAATCAAGGGAGATTAAACCAGTAGGACTGAATCAGGGCCCTCAAAGCTGGACTGAGTTGGTCCTGTTCTGGCACATATGGTCCACTGGAGACAATGTATGATCATGTTTTTCTTTGGTCTGAAAATTGTATTAAACGTTTATTTTGAAAGTTTTCGTCGTGTTTTTAATTTTTCTTCTGCTATGACGTCATGCAGCAGCCCCAGAAAAACAGCTGCTTGGAAAGGCAGCAACAGTGCCCTCTGGCTTTACAGTGCAGAGCTGAAGCCTCATTTTGACTGCACTATAGGATGTAGCAGTGATCATCTCTGATACTGGACCCTCTTCTTTAAGAGGGATTCAACTGCCGGGTGTGGTGGCTCACGCCTGTAATCCAAACACTTTGGAGGCCAAGGCAGGCAGATCACCTGAGATCGGGAGTTCAAGACCAGCCTGACCAACATGGTAAAACCCCATCTTTAAAAAATAATAAAAAAATAATAATAAAAGGGATTCAACTATAAAAATCTTATTTCCTCTAATACTAGAAAAATGCTATTTACAAAATGAATCTTGGAAGGACTAGAAATGCATTTATCATCAGAAAAATTATGTTTTAGAAAACCTAGTTATAAGTAACTCTCATACATTACTTCACTATTATTTCAATTTACCTTAAGCTATGCAAGTATGTCTGAATTTTGTTTTCAAAGCCACTAGCATTTTACCTTTTTTGCATTTATTTATTTTGAGACAGTGTCTCGCTCTGTTGCCCAGGCTGGAGTGCAATGACACAATCTCGGCTCACTGCAACCTCTGCCTCCCAGGTTCAAGCAATTCTCCTGTCTCAGATTCCTGAGTAGCTGGGATTACAAGCACGCACCACCATGCCTGGCTAATTTTTGTATATTTAGTAGAGGTGAGGTTTCGCCACGTTGGCCAGGCTGGTTTCCAACTCCTGACCTCATGATCTGCCCGCCTTGGCCTCCCAAAGTGCTGGGATTACAGGCGTGAGCCACGGCACCCGGCTGTGCATTTATATTCTTAGAATGATGAGCTTTATTCAAAATTTCAGTTTTCTATTAATACTTTCTATACTTTTTAGTTTAGTTTTTTTTTCTCTTTTTGAGACAGGGTCTCACTCTGTCACCTAGGCTGGAGTGCAGTGTTGTGATCTCAATTTACTGCAACCTCCACCTCCCAGGCTCAAGCGATCCTCCTACCTCAGCCTCCCAAGTAGGTGGGACTGCAGGTGCTTCCCATCATGCCCAGCTACTTTTTTTTTCTGTAGAGACAGGGTTTTACCCTGTTGCACAAGCTGGTCACAAACTCCCGGGCTCAAGTAATTTGCCCTCCTCAGCCTCCCAAAATGCTGGGATTACAAGTGTAAGCCACCAAGCCCAGCCTATTTATATACTTCTTACTGAAACATTTAACCAGCATACTGCTCCCCTGGCAGAGAGGAGAATGAGTTACCTACATTTTATTTTTTATTTTTTGAGAGAGTCTCGCTGTCGCCATGCGCCAGGCTGGAGTGCAGTGGCGCAATCTCAATTCACTGCAACCTCCACCTCCCAGGTTGAAGCAATTCTCCTACCCCAACCTCCCAAGTAGCTGGGACTACAGGCGCGCACCACTATGCCCAGCTAATTTTTGTATTTTAGTAGAGACGGGGTTTCACCATGTTAGCCAGGCTGGTCTCAATCTCTTGACCTCGTGATCCGCTGACCTCAGACTCCCAAAGTGCTAGGATTACAGGTGTGAGCCACCGGCCCTATATGGTAATTTTAAAAAATGTTAGGCCAGGTGCCGTAGTGCTCATGCCTGTAATCCCAGCACTATGGGAGGCCGAGGCAGGCGGATCACCTGAGGTTGGCAGTTCGAGACCAGCCTGACCAACATGGAGAAACCCCATCTCTAATAAAAATACAAAATTAGCTGGGCGTGGTGGCACATGCCTGTAATCCCAGCTACTCGGGAGGCTGAGGCAGGAGAATCACTTCAACCTGGGAGGGAGAGGTTGTGGTAAGCCAAGATCGCGCTACTGCACTCCAGCCTGGGCAACAAGAGCAAAACTCCATCTCAAGAAAAAAAAAGTTTTGTTTTCTTTTGGTTTTTTTGAGATGGAGTCTTGCTCTGTCGCCCAGGCTGGAGTGCAATGGTGCGATCTTGGCTCACTGCAACCTCCGCCTCCTGGGTTCAAGCGATTCTCCTGCCTCAACCTCCTAAGTAGCTGGGATTACAGGCACGTACTATCATGTCTAGCTAATATTTATATTTTTAGTAGAGATGGGGTTTCATCATGTTGGCCAGGTTAGTCTCGAACTCCTGACCTCGTGATCCACCCGCCTCATCCTCCCAAAGTGCTCGGATTACAGGTATGAACCACAGTGCCCAGCCCCCCCTCCTTTATTTATTTATTTTTTTAAGAACTGGGGTTTCACAGTGGTTCACACCTGTAATCCTAGCACTTTGGAAGGCCAAGGCAAGCAGAATGCTTGAGTTCAGTAGTTTGAAACCAGCCTTATGGATAACATAGTGAAACTCCGTCTCAAATAAAAAAAAGAATTGGGGTCTCCCTGTTCCTCAGGCTAGAATGCAGTGGCACTATCATATCTCATTGTAGCCTCAAATTCCTAGGCTTGACCGATTTCTCCCACCTCTGAGTAGCTGGGAATAAAGATGGGTACCAACACACCCAACTGATTTACCTATATTAACCGGGGGCTTTGATGACAAATGATCCCCAAGCCCACTCTAGCCTTTCACTAAAGTCCTCAGCCAAGCATTTTAACTTGAGCTGCTCAAAAGACCAGGCTTGGCCGGCTGCAGTGGCTCACGCCTGTAATCCCAGCACTTTGGGAGGCCGAGGTGGGAGGATCACAAGGTCGAGATCAAGACCATCCTGGCCTACATAGCGAAACCCTGTCTCTACTAAAATATAAAAAATTAGCTGGGCGTGGTGGTGCGCGTCTGTAGTCCCAGCTGCTTGGGAGGCTGAGGTTGCAGTGAGCGGAGATCGCGCCACTGCACTCCAGCCTGGTGCCTGTCGACAGAACAAGACTCTGTCTCAAAAAAAAAAAACAGGCTTACAAATTAGCAATTTCAGTTCGTTCTTTTTCCTACTGGGGCCTAGGTATTCAATCAGGAAAAACTGCTTCCCAAACTGTCACAGCCAGCTGAACAGCTTTTCAAGAGTCCTCAGGAGACAGAGTACTTTAGACTTCAGTTTTAGGAGAGAGACCCAGGGAGTTACAGATTGGTTTAGTTCTGAAAAACAGACTAGGTATCTCTAAAGAGAGGAGGCATAATAAAGATTAGACAGGCCAGGCAGAGTGGCTTCATGCCTGTAACCCTAACACTTGGAAGCCCAGCAGGAGGATCACTTGAGTCAGGCACTGGAGACCAGCCAGCCTGGCCAACATGGCAAAACCCTGTCTCTACTAAAAATACAAAAATTAGACAGACGTGATGGCGGGCACCCGTAATCCCAGCTACTCGGGAGGCTGGGGCAGGAAAATTGCTTGAATCTGGGAGGCAGAGGTTGCAGTGAGTCAAGATCACACCACTGCGCTCCAGCCTGGGCAACAAAGCAAGACTTTACTTTGATAAAAGGAAATAAATATACTCTGCCCTAGTGACTTCAAAAGTTAGAGAAACCCCGAAGATGGACTCCACAGACTTCAACGACATCCACAACCAAATGGTCTACCTATTCAAGGGCTGGCTATATTTAGTCAAACATTAGGTAATCCATCAGTTGTTCCTGTGGTCACTTACACCCATAACAGCTAGCAACAAATATTCACAACAGTGTGATGAGAAAGCTGGTTCTAGTTAAACAGTACTTCTATGTTAAGTACTTAAATACACTTGAGTTTGTGGGGTTTCAAGGTTTGTTCTGGGGGGGGAGTAACTATTTTTCACATTTGCACAAGATCACTGGAATAACAATTCCACTTAATATTCTTTCTCATGCAAAGTGTAAATGGTTGAGGCTAGAAATAAAAGTGTTTTTGTTTTTAAGAGAATGTTGCCAGGCGCAGTGGCTCATACCTGTAATCTCAGCACTGTGGGAGGCCAAGGCGGGCGGATCACATGAAGTCAGGAGTTGGAGACCAGACTGGCCAACATGACAAAACCCTGTCTCTACTAAAACTACAAAAATTAGCTTGGCGTGGTGGTGGGCACCTGTAATCCCAGCTACTCAGGAGGCTGAGGCAGGGAGTACTGCTTGAACCTGGGAGGTGAAGGTTGCACTGACCTGTGATGGTGCCACTGCACTCCAGCCTGGGCAACAGCAAGACTTCATCTCAAAAATAATCACGGTTTTCCTATTACTTTTTAATTTTTGTATTTTTAGTAGAGACGAGGTTTTGTCATGTTGTCCAGGCTGGCCTCCAACTCCTGACCTCAAGTGATCTGTCCACCTTGGCCTCCCAAAGTGCTGGAATTACAGGCTTGAGCCATCACATCCAGCCTAAAACTGTGATTATTTTTGCACGAAACTAAGAGCTAGCATGATCTTTCCTTCAATATAGCACCAAGAGCAGTTACATTTGACTAACAGGTAACTGAAGGCAGGGCACGGTGGCTCAAGCCTGTAATCCCAGCACTTTGGGAGGTTGAGGTGGGCGGATCACCTGAGGTCAGGAGTTTGAGACCAGCCTGACCAACATGGAGAAACCCGTCTCTACTAAAAATACAAAAATTGGCTGGGCATGGTGGCACATGCCTGTAATCCCAGTTAGTTGATAGGCTGAGGCAGAAGAATCACCTGAACCTGGGAGGTGGAGGTTGCAGTGAGCCAAGACTGCAGCATTGCACTTCAGCCTGGATAACAAGAGTGAAACTCGGCCTCAAAAAAAAAAAAAAGTAACCGAAATTTTTTTTTTGCGGGGTACAGTGGCTCACGCTTGTAATCCCTGCACTTTGGGAGACTAATGCAAGCAAATCACCTTTCTGAGGTCAAAAGTTCGAGATCAGCCTGACCAACGTGGAGAAACCCGTCTCTACTAAAAAAAAAACAAAGTTAGTCAGGTGTTGTGGCACATGCCTGTAATCCTAGCACTTAAGAGGCTGACGCAGGGGAATCACTTGAACCCAGGAGGCGGAGGCTGCGGAGAGTGGAGATCGTGCCACTGCACTCCAGTTGGGTCAACAAGAGCACAACTC